ACCTCTTCTCAACTTAGTTAATGTAGCTAAGTTAAATTGAGGAATTAGAATAGGGAATAATTGAGGCGACCACTTTATATATTGATCATTTAGAATTTCGAATAAACAAAATATTGACCAAATAAAATGTCGACCACTTTAAATATCGATCATTTAGAATTTCAATTAAATAAAATATCAACTAAATAAAATGTCGACTTTCATAACTGTCGTTCTTTTAGAATTTCGACCAAATAAAATATCGACTTAAAGTAATTCGATCAATTAAAATTTCGAACTTTTTAATTTTTGGAAAAAATCATGCGCCTCGATTAATTATATAAGTTCAGCTTAGGTAAAATTAAAAATTATTTAAATTTTTTAACAAATATGACATAACATCGTAATGAAACGGATTGATTCAGTGAATTATAATTAAATAATGTACAAGAAATAAATTTATAATTATTTTTAAAATAAAATCAATTGAATTTCATTAAATTTTTAAAATCAAAAATAAACCATTTAACAATTGCGGCTATAAAAATATTTTAACATTTTCATTTAATAAACTTGTTTAAATTTTATTAAAAATTCTACTTACTTTTTAAATATTTAATAACTAATTTTTAGTTTATTCAAGTTTAAAATAAAAATATAGAAATATTAACTGTGGAGTTTTTTTAACTTCTATTTTCAATTTGTTATATATCTTTGTTGGAGCCAACGCTATAAAAAGTAATGTAATTTTTATCAATTTCAATATTTAACCCCTTATAACTGCGATGATGAAGATTGGACGTCGTCGATGTCGTCATCAACAGTTAAGGGGTTAACTTATTATTTTAATATTTTGAAAAAAAACTACCAACATTTTTGAAAAAAAAAATTCTGAATTTAAAAAAATTAAGTTCTTCTAAAGTAACCAGCTTTTTTTAGAATGTTAAGTACGAGGGGGAATTTACTCAGGTAGTCAAGTGTACACTTTTCCTGTAATACTTGTGTAATATCGTGTAATACCGTGTAATAATGCGTTATTACGGTACTGTAATAACACAAAAAGTCTGTAATATCTTTGTAATAATGTGTAATACTCTGTAATAACGTGTAATACTAACTAGTAATAAGGGTAATATGAGGTGTATTACTGGTAGTCAAGTGTACACGTTTTTAACTAGTAAATTCCCCTTCGGTTAAGTACTTTAAAAGAAAAGCACTTTAAAAAGAAATAAAAAAAGGAAAAGTAAATTTGTTTAAAAAGATCTTGTTCAAAGAGTTTTTGAAGCATTGAAAAGAACATGAAAAATGTGTAGCTGCATAAAGTACCATTATAGGTATACTTAAATCCTTTTTTTTTTTTGAAAATCACTAGACCAAATTAAGAAACTAAATTACATTTTTAAATTCTTATTAAACATAATGAATCTAAATGATTTCTTAAAAAAAATTAGGTTTCTAAAACATTTTTCACTTTGGAAAATGTAGTCATCAGTGAACCACTTTCTGGTTTTTTATGTAAAATAATTCTGTGCATCAAAATGATTATTGAAAAAAGTCCTTCCGTTTTGTGTTACATTTCTTATTACCATATACTATAACCAAACCAATTTTTATAACGATATTTTCAAAAAACTTGTGATTTAATTCTAAGGATGATATACGTCCCTTGATATTCAATTTAAGAACTCTGTGAACGGTGGAGAGCGACCAATGATTGCGCGCTTCTCCCTTCCCTCTACCTACATTAGTATTAAAACGAACATAACCTTAAAATTCAAGACCATAGGTTTCCACAATTCAAAGCCTTAGTTCAAACATAACCTCAAAATTTAAAAATGTAGATCATGGTATCGTTGAATTCAAGACTACATTCGACAAACATAACCTTAAATTCCCTTAACCAAAAGACGAACATAACCTCAAAATTTAGATAAAATTTTAATATTTTCAAGCCTTTAAAAAATTAATCCTTTTAAAGTGTAAAATCATGGGGGTTGGCGCGCAGGGAGACATAGCCCCCCTAGTATATATCTTGTTGTTTTTTTTATCTTCTCGTCTAGGCTCGACACACGCGACTTTTTGAGCGTTCTCTCAGTCTGTATAATTCTGACCATGTGTGCGAGTTAATTAAGTGTGAAATGAAATCTAACGAAAACCCTTTTAGGCGTGTGCACAGTCGCTCGGTTGCACGCTCGGCCCAACTGGACGGATCCCTTTTTCGCATCGCGAACATCGCAACCAGGTGCGCGACGAGAAAGCAGTTTACGATCAAATAGTTTCCATTTTTTTTTTTTTTTTTTTTGTCAACGGCATCTCTTTTACTTCGCTTTTGAGCCACAGAATATTACGGAACGATGGTTAAGCTCAACCCCCCCCCCTCCTCATAGAGCTTTGTTTGTCTCTATTGACCAATCCTCCTCCCGCATTTCTCCAATATATAGTTTTTGTCCAATCATAAACAATTCCTTTAATATCCATGTTTTCTTTTTTTTTTTCCTACATCTGATATTGATGTATAAAATTGGCCTTCTTGGCCGAATCTAAAAAGATGATATTTGTTTAAATAATTTGTTAAAATAAATTTTTGTTGTATTTTGTCCACTATAAAAATTTTTAGCAAAATCTTATTACTTCAAGGTATGTAAAAATAAAAAAAAAGTAAAAAAGCCACATCAGGCGAGGTGTTTTATTCCCAAATAGGGCAGCCTAATCCGGCCCCAATCTGGGCCCTGGCAAAATTTCCACACAGTTACAATTGAAAATAGATCTCAAAAAGATCCAGATTTTTCAAAATTTATAACTCAAAAATTTGGGTTCTTATAAAAAGTTGATAAACTTGGATTAACTTTCTAAAAAATATGTATACCATTTTTTTCTGCAAAGAACGAAAAAGAAATTATTCGAATTTTAAAGGTCGTAGGTAAATTACACTTGTAATGACTGTTTGTTTACATTAAAATACAAAGGATACTTTAAGTCAAAAGTCATAAGATTCCCAAGGTAATTAAATCAGTTGCAACTCGTGTATTGACCTGTCCGGACGTGGTCAACGTTCCAATTAACCTGGAAGCTTGCTTCAAATAACAAAATATCTTCTCAACTCAACACCCGTGTAGAAATTTCCCTACCAGGGCCCTGGTAGTGAATAATAATCTGGTCCCGATCAGGGACTGTTCAGGGCCAGATTAGGGCCACGAGAAAAATGGGGATTTCCTAATCAGGGACACATCAGGCGTAGCGTCACATTCCCGCCCGATCCGGCCCCGATCCGAGCCATGGCAAAATTTCTACACGGGGTATGTAAGCTTGCTGCAAGCTTACATACTATGGAGTTGTGAGGACTGTTTGCTATTCGCAGCAAGCTTGCTCTTTACAGGTTAATTGACACGCATTTTTTAATTTGCGAACAATAAAATTTTAGAGTTAAATTTTTTTTTCCTTTTAGTAAATTTTTTGTTACGTGAGTGTTCGTGATTGCTTAAATTTTTAGGAGAAGTATTTTGTTTCTTAATTTAAAAAAAATTTAATTTAACAATTTTAAAGAGATATATATATATATATATATATATAATATAATATATATGAAATAGTATATAAAATAAAATAATAAAAATTGATAAATAAAATAAAAGCAAAACAAAAATTATGCAAAAATTAACAACTGCCTAAAAAAGTCTTTTTTAGGCAGTTGTCCCAAACTGCTTTAAAAAGTGCTATTTTATCTGCCCAAAACAGGCACAAAAAAGACACTTTTTCATGTCAATGGCGAAAGAAATTATTTCTGTAGTGCTCGAAATTTTAATGTGTCTTTGGTATAGTGAAACATCGATTACAGGCTGCGGTTAGTGATGTATTTTTTCAAATAATAGGTACTTCCAATTTTTTTATATTATAGAAAACTTAAAAATTAATTTAACCCCTTCCCTGTTAGAGAAAAAAAATTGATACTGTGGTCCCAAAATGTCCAACAAATTATGGTCGATAAATTTTTATGAAACTTAGTATACACTCTAAATCTGAATCAGTGAAAATCAGATGTATGTATACATAAGGATTTTTGGAGTCTCTGAATTCAAATATGACCTCAAAAAAAGAATTCAAAATGGTGGATATATTTTTTTAAATTTATGTGGAATTTCATAAAACTTTTTATATAAGGGTTTTTGGGGGTCGCTAAATTCAAATTTTAATTTAAAGGTCAAATTTGAATTCAGCACCCTCGAAAACCTCCTTTTATAACAAGTTTCATTAAAATCCGTTAAAATTGTTAAAACTCTGTCCTCTATTTTGGATTTACCATTTTGAATTTTATAATTTGAATGTCAAATTGTAATTCAGTACCATCGGAAATCCCCTTATACCAAGTTATATTAAAATCCGTTACAATTTTTAAAATTTTGTCCGCCATTTTGAATTTTTAAATTTAAAGGTCAAATTCAAATTCAGCAACCCCAAAAACCCTTATACACCTAATGTGGGTTTAATTAAGAAAAAAAATTTTTTCGTGATTTTTACTTGTTTTTCAATTGTTATATTACTTAAAAATATTAAATAATTAGTTAATTATTACTTATACAAATATCATTAATACCTGTAGTGTAAGAATAATGATATAAAAGAATTTATTTTACAATTTACATGGAAAAGATTTATTTTGTGTTAAGACGATCACGACACAACATATATGTGTCGCTGACAATGAGGGGATTAAAGTTCTGAATTGGCTTAATACTTTGGTAAATTGTTGTTCTATATGAGCACATTATTTTTAATATGCGATTAATATTTTAGTTAATTTTACATTTGTGACGCTCCACGAGAGAAGGGACATTACGTTAAAAAAATTTAGGTTATGTTTAGTGATAGTTTTACCTTTATAAAAGAAGGTTTTAATTTGGTAAGATCAGAATTAGTTTTAACTGGATTTTTTTAATGTAATAAAGACTTAAATTTAAATGTTCTGTATTGTTTTCGACTTTTCATATCGTTCATAACTAAGTTTTAATTATAATTTATTTTAGGTGCCGTTCCAGTTTAATCATGCTGATGTAGGCCATTTTTTGTAAGTAGAAAATTTCTATTATTTTATTTATTAAATTATTGTGTATTTGTGTCCTTTACTGTTGGATATTTATATTCCCCACACTGTCCTTTGATTTTGCCCTTCAATGATTGTTTGTAATTAGTATTATTAGCCCAGTTTACTTACGCTGAAAAAGGCAGGGCTTCTATTATTGACTTGGTATGGTGCGAGGGGCCAGGTTAGCAATTGATCGACGATTTTAAGGTCTTACACATCCCAACCCGATCTGACCATTTTCCCATTTGTTTATCCTTAACAGGTAAAAATAAGATCACTAGAGAAAATAATATAGAAACTCAATTGAAATGGAAAGAAGAAAATATAGAAAAATATAGGAATGAAATTAAATACCCGACAAACACGCGGAGTCCAATCACGGTTGACGAAATATCTAATAACTTAATTAACTCTATCAAAGAAGCAACAAAACTCTCAGACATGATAATAACTTTAAAAACAAGAAAACAGTTTTTAAAACCGTGGTTTGACTCTGAGTGTAAGTTACGTAAAAATAAACTTAAAAAACTATTAAAAGAATTTAAAAAGGAAAAATTTAGCCCGCTCATTTTACAAAAATATAATCAATGTAAAATGGAATACCAAAAATTAATTAATAAAAAAAGGAAGTTTATAAAATAATTATTACAGACAGGATAGTACTAACAAACGATTCTAAACAATTTTGGAAATTGATTAACAATTTTAGGTTTAAAAGCACAGAACAGGAGGTAATAGATATAAATAAGTGGGAGAAATATTTCAAATCGGATCATCCAATCAAACCGCCCGACGAATTAAATCTAAAATTTAATGAAATGGGAAATAACTACTTGGACACAAGCATAAAATTAGAAGAAACCTTAATGAGTTTAAAAAAGTACAAATTCCTGAAAGCTATCGGTCCAGATCACATTGGATACGAATTTTTAAAAAACCTGCCGGGAAATTTGATTTTATATTTGAATTCTCTATTTAATAAAATCCTGGAAACAGAAAAGTCACCTAATTCATGGGATCAAACATATGTGAGAATGATTTATAAAAAGGGAAAAATAGATGATCCTTCTAACTATAGACCTATATCCTTGATGAATTGTCTCACAAAGTTATTTACACAGATTCTTGCTAAAAGATTAGTGGACTGGGCGGAGGAAAATGAGGTGATCCCGGAATGGCAGGCAGGGTTTAGGAGGGGAAGAAGCTGTGAAGATCATATTTTTACATTAAATGCATTAATTCAGTACAGATTGAGTTTACCTAAAAATAAAGTATTCGCAGTATTTGTTGACTTCAAAGGCGCCTTCCCCTCCGTGAATCACTGCATAATGTGGAGAAAATTATATGCAAAAAGATGTGGCTCAAAACTTATTAGAATTTTGATGGACTCCTATGATAAAGCAACCTTAAAAGTAAAGAATTTTCGAGGCACAACCGAAAGTATAAAAATAACAAAGGAGGTACTGCAGGGAGATGTCCTTAGCCCGACACTATTCACTTTAATTATTGCAGATTTAGGGGAATACCTTAAAAGTAAAGGAATAAGTGGTTTAGCAATAGATCATAAAACTGAAATTTTAATTCTGGCATACGCAGATGACCTTGTCATCTTCTCGGACTCAATGATAGATATGAGAAGTATACTTAAATACCTATATGAATATTGTAAAATTAATAAACTAGAAGTAAATCTTAAAAAAACAAAAATCATTGAGTTTAAGAGAGGCGGACATGGTCAAAAAAAAAAATAAAAAGAATGTAGTTTTTGAATATGGAGGGGAACAAATAGAAATGGTAAAAAATTATGTTTATTTGGGAATTCCATTTAGTAACTCGACTTTTTTTGCGAGTGCCAATATGGAAATCTTAAAAAAAAGTAACTAAGCACTAAACTCAACATTATCAATAATATACAAATCACAGATAGACTCGACTTTGTCCCTACACTGAAAAAAAAATTATTTGCTTCAAATACTCGATTACTTGCCTATTATCAAATAAATATTTACTTGCACCAAATAATTTTTATTTGAATTAAATTAATTTGTATTTGAACTCATAGTTTCTGTATTTGAAACAAAATACCATTTAATCATCCTACGGTTTAATTAAATTTGCAGAAATCGATACCAAAATGGTTCGTTTAATCCTGAATAGAAAATTTTATATTTCAAAATTAGTTAATAGTTTTTTTTTTGGATCGCTGATTACGAATTTGATGTCAGTTTTCAAAAATTCAAAATGTCGGAACCAATATGGCGAACATAAAATTTTATTTTAATTTATCGTCTTGAGTAACAATTTTCAATAAAATTCGCTGAATTATAAAAAAGTTTTCAAAAATGTCCGCCATTTAGAATTTTTAAAAAACTGACATCAGATTTGTAATCAGTGACTTCAAAACCCACCGAATAACGATTTTCGTAAGCTTACTTCATAAACTTTCTGATGTCATATCTTCTAAAGTTTTGCCTAAATTGAATCGCGATTTTAAGTCACTGAACAAAATCTTAAGAACTTTCAAATAATGTAAAAACAAATTTTTTTTTAAAACTTCTTCTTAATTATTTATAACTTTTATCAATGTATGTACGAAGATGACCGGGATAATTCAATTATTTTTTTAATTCTATTTTACAAAAGGACTTGAATTCATATTTAGACTTTTCACTCGTAAGTGTTTTATGTTGTCAAATAATGAATATAAAAATATTATATTCCATTTTTTATTTGTTTAGAAATTTTTTTGTTGTTATTTATGAACTTTTTTTGTTCTGCACCTAAATAAATGCTGTTTTTTTCCTAATTTTGCAATTTATCAAGCCGAATATAATAAAAGATAGATTTTTATGTAAAATTATTAATTCAACAATTGTTTTAACAATCTATTGTTGTTATTTACAAACTTTTTTTGTATTGCACCTAGAAAGATGTCGTTTTTTTCAAATTTTAATATTACATTATGCTTCTTAAGTTGCAAAATTAGGAAAAAATTACAACTTTCTTGGAACTTTATGAAAAAAAAGTTAATAAATAGCAACAATTATTTGTTTAAACAATTTATAATAATAGTTGTTACAAATTTAATTATATATTTTATTTTATTTATAACCTTTTTAATAACTTCGAAGAAAAGGTAACAAATTTATCAAATTCTGCCACTGTCTATGTATATTTGAAGAAGTTATAAATTATTAATAATAAATTGTTTAAACAAATAAAAAATCAACAAAACATTATTAAAATGTATTATTTGGTAACATATAACAATTTCAGAAACAAACTGGATGATTCCAAGTTTATATTGCAATATACAAAGAAGAAAACATTTGACCCACCCTGGGTGGGTTCTCGTCAACCGCGTATATAAAAAAAATCTCTAGTCCGGCGAAGGTTAAATGCACTTTATTTTTCTTATTTAAAAACTCATTTTTTTAACTAACATTCAAAGTTGTGTAACTTTGTTAAAAATTTTTTTTATCATTACTATCATATATTTCTGAAAGTCCTAGACCATCATCTTCAATTTCCATTTTGGATCATACAAATCTGTTGTTTTGTTTACAAGATATAAAGTATTTAGTTACCCCGAGATATCTCGGGTCTAACCATATGGGGGTTAAAATTGACTCAAATAATAATTATTTGATAATAGTTTTTGTAACCGATTATTTGAATCAAATAAATTTTTCTTTTCAGTATGAAACCGATGATAAATAATTCTAACATTTCGCATACTAAAAAATAATTAAGTTAAAATACTCTTAATTCATTTTTACTTCCCTTCAAAAATATATACATTTTAACATATTCTGGGAACAATTGTTGTTGAGAAGAAAAAAAACATTGTTTATGATTTTTAAATTATTTTTATATGGATTCAGAATTTTTTTTTACTCTGATGAAACTTCTATGGTGTATTGGGTTATTTAATGAACTTAAGTTAATTGATCGACTAATTAGAAGTACCGAGATTTTACATTAAAAGACTTTTTGGAGAGACCTAAAAATGTCGGTGGAAATGAATTCCTTTAGATATTGTGAAGTGAATTTGTAGTAGGTTACACAGTGAGGTTAAGCGGAGCAACGTTTATCGTCTTTTTAGTGACACGCCCACTAGGACCGTACACTATTGACTTTATGAGGCGATCTACCTGGCGAATTCTTTGGCGAGATCGGTAATTACCGTAAATTACAGGAGGAAAAACATTTGTTTCTTTTGCTCGTGACACTGATTGTGAATAACGCAGTATCTATTCCTTCCGACAGGTCGTGCGTCCCATCTGGTTCGCAAATCAGTTAAAAGTATACTTGCGGTATAATAAGGGGGAAGGGAGGGTCCCATAGAGTGAGAGAGCAAAAGATTGCAAGCATACAGTATAAACACGAAGTAAGGAATTAAAGAAAAAGAGAGAAGAGACTTGAATATATATATATATATATATGTATATATAGCGCATCAAGAAAAGAACGAAAGAATATAAGTTCGTTGCCACTGGGAAAAGTTTGCCTGCGTTGAATCAGGATCCGCACGATCGAGTTGTTGGTGTTATAGCACGCATCACGCATCAGTACGCAATTCCACGCAACTATCCCTATATCCGGCATCTTCTTCGTCCCCATAATGACTCGGCGTTGTTTGCGTAATTGCACTGACTGGACACGGATAGACGATATCCCATTATTCTAACTGCAACGTGTATAACCACAATTTGCATAAACCACGGTGGAAATTTACGATCAGCATTCTTCTTTTTCTTTCCCCCCATTGCTAAACATAATTTTCATATATATATATATATATATATATATATATATATATATATATGTATAGTTAATTTTGACTAATTCACGGAAATTTACGAAACTGTTATAAGTTTCATTAAATGTATTTAATAGACCACTAACTTGCGACAAAAGATGACTGAGAAAAATAATACAGGCAGACAAAAAAAATTCATGTTGTGAGCTGGAGGTCAAAT